GTGAACTGGCCCGATGCATTGTGACTAAAGCAGAGCTCAGTCTGAAAACTAGGCACTCGGTGTTTAAGTCGATCTTCATGCACATACTTACCTACAGTCATGAGTCGCGAACCATGACTGTAAAATTTCGAACCCGGCTACAGGCTGCTGAAATAAACTTTCTGAGACGAGTAGCTGGACTTACGCGTCTCGACATGTTCCAGTGTACAGACATCCGCGAAAACCTTGGTTAAACAGCCGCTGCTTCTCCAGATTGAGAAGTCAGAGCTGCAATGGTTTGGGTACATTTTGCGAATACCTGCAGAAAAGAAGGAGAGGCAACTGTTTCTTGCCCAGACGACCGGCAGAAGGTCCAAGGGACGGCCAAAGTTTATCTGGTACAAGTATATGGGTGGAATCTGCCCTAGAATGGAATCCGGTTGTTTTCTGTCGACACTGAGACTCTGGCACCAAATCAGGAAAGTAGAAGCATTGTCTGATGTGTCTCCCTCTGTACACAAAAGGAGAACCGACCATGAAAGATGTAGATGAAAATCACTTGATGGACCAACATGGCTGCAGAATGCTGAATGAAAGCGGTGAACGGCTATTTGAATTTTATCCTACGCAGTTCCTCGTCTTCGGTACGCTATTTTCTTACTGCCAAATCCATAAGCCAAATGCATCACGCTGGTAGACATCACCAGGTGACCGCTTGGAAGTCAGCTGAACCACATGCTGGTCAGCAGAAAGTGGCAAGGCGCCGTTAGCAACTTCCGGGCAAGATGCGAAGCTGACATTGGCTAGGATCACTCCATGGAGGCCGACAAGGTCCGATTGCAACTGGCCACGTCCCGAAGAACAGCGCAGAATGGGGAAAACGTCGAATTGGACTCCAGCAAGTCAAAAGATCCAGAAACTCGCGCGACCTTCCAAAAACGGATCAACAGCAGATTCCCTGCTGTAAGGAACATGAACTTGTCAGGACCCACAGTTACTCTACCAACAGCTTAAACAGGATATCGTCGCTGCCGCAGCAAATATACTCGGCTTAAGCAAAAAAGACAGAACATCCTCACAGGTTTTGGCAGAAACCCTCACTTTTCGCCAAAGAAAAATTTCGGCGAAGGATGAGTTCTTTCAGAACCCTAGAGGGACGAAAAGGCAAGAATGTTGGCATCTCGTGAAAGCCGTGACAAGCGACACTGGATGAAACTACAAGCGAGGTACTTGGAGTAGGCAGTTTCGAAGAACAACTGGAAGACGCTGTGCAGGCAAATCAACATAATCACAAGTGGCGGCAAACGTAAGCCCTTAACATGTCTGATTTTCAGCAAGACCAATGAGCCCCTTCCAGATTCAGACAGCCGTCAGAGGCGATGAGCTATTCTGAAA